TCCAAGTAATCAAAATGAAAATGAAATCCCGTTCTGGCGATTCGCGCAACGGGATTTATAATGATTTTTATTTAGTTCACTTCAAGTCTAGTGAACGAAACAACCTTAAGGCCTTGGAAAAAGCTAGCCTTATGCTTAATATTCGAGTGAAGTGGGAACACTTCAGGAAGACTGGAGGAAATTTCCAAAACCTCACCCAGTGCCGTAAGTGCTGGGGATGGTGTCACGGAACAAAAAATTGCTACATGTCAGCTAAATGCATGAATTGTGGAGATTCCTCTCACGCAAAGGACGACTGTCCTGTGAAGGAAGATCCTAAACAAATTAAATGTTCAAATTGTGGTGAAATTCACAAATACAAATCAAGCGATCCTACAATCTCGTTCAAAGCTACATGTAGGAAACGCTCCACGTTAACGACCAGGTATAAATTCCTCTGCTGTTAACAGCGGTTAGCGAGGAACAAATTCTACATTCGTACCCGTAGGTACAAATATCACCCCTGCTTCATATTCTTCATCTATACCTACTTCCCTCGCTGCTAACAATGTTCAGCGAGTTAATGGAGCTACCTATGCTCCTATTGAAATGGGTAGAAATCAAAATACTAACCAACGTATTTCTAACGGAAATTTTTAAAATTTTGACTTAGGAAGCATTACTGCTCCTAAAATGGATTTTTTTGAGAAATTATTAATTGAAATGATTTCTGATATGCCTAAATCTAACTCCATGTTTGATGCTATTCAAACTGGAGTAAAATTTGCGAACAATAATGTCATGACTTTAAAGTTCTGCAATCGATTTTAAATCATTAAATATTTTAAATTGGAATGCTCGATCTCTTAAAGATTATGAATACGAGCTATTTAAGTTTTCGAGAGTTCAGAACGAGCATGTTGCAGTTATAACTGAAACGTTCCTTAAACCTGACCATAAGGTTAATAGGGACGCAAATTATTTCATTTATAGAATTGATCGTCTTGATGGACCCTGTGGTGGCGTTGTAATTGTAAGATTCGCTTACAATTATGTGGGATTCATCATCAGAGGATGTTAGTGGACACCGCATGAACCGAAGATGCGATATACCTAGCTGCGGTCTAATGCAAGAAAATTGGAGACCGAAAAATGTAGAGTGTATTAGTGAGGTAAATTAGTTATGTCGTAAAAATAGGAAACAGATTGCCGAATGGACTCGAACCACAAACGTTGCGATTATCAGACCTGTGATTTCTCCACTGCTCTCTCTATGCTTCTGAATATGGATAGCCTAAAAGCAAACATGAAGCGCTCGTTTTCTCGCATACTCGACATCGTATGCTTTTTCTGCTGGAGAGATTCGAGGCAAGCGTGTGCGTCGTTCTACAATGTTCTACAATGTGCGTCGTTCTACAAGCTTACTGGTATAGTCGAAAGTATAGGTAGAACACGAAATAAAAAAAACTAGAAGGGTCTGTGCCTAGGGGCACGAACGGAAGCTTGACGTAGGACCGCTAGTGGAAGGAATAAATATGAAGAGCATTTTATTCTTTTAATTGATCAATTATCTATTATCTCAACTCTTTCCGGTTTTTAATTGTAGGCGTACCAAATTTGTAGTAATCTTTTTCAAAGAGAAAGTTGATTAAGAGAATCAATCAAAATCACTTGTACCCCTGCTTCCAAGTTTGGTTACAAGATTACAACTCTGGAGAGCATTTTGTGTGGTCGTTGGGGGCTTGTGTATGAATATGGACAAACAAGCACAGATAAATTCTATTCCAACTCTTTACTTGTGTAAGCTTGATGGCGTGTTTAGTGTAGGTGACAGCACCACGGACCTCATTTTCCAGGAACACCGCCACGGCGAGCCAGACCACGGATGGTGGTTATCTTGAAGAACTTTGCGTTTGGTTCTGAATATGGCGATGAGTGTGCAAAATATTACCATCCTCCCTATTCGTACGCGCCCGAGGATCGGAGGCGAATGCCACTTCGACTTGTTTCGTCTACTTACTACACTCTGACGACTGTGCTGGGGAAGCAACATATGCATGTAGGTAATTGGTGGATTTGTTAGTTAATTCGACGCTTTTGAACAATGCTGGACATTTACAAGTTTTTCAATAGTTTCTTGTCGGGAATCAACATTCGGAAGCAATGTTATCGATGCGTAGCCATATTTCTGATCGATTGGTGATAAAATTATTGAAATTGGACCAGGGGCAGCTGAGTTAATAACGTTCAAAATCTTTCTTAATTTGTTACATGTTCCATTTTCGGTTTTCACAAAGTGTACCCCCATATAGAAATCAAAGACGTAGTCCTACGTCAAAAAGACAAAAAACCATTACATCGCCTGCATGGTCAATTTCTAACATTCGTTGTGATTTTCATAAACAGAGGATGATAGGAAACGGAACTAACATTCATTGTAATAGATTTTTGGTTTGCGTGTACCAGCATGAAATTTCAGGAGCAACTGCAATTCGTGCTAGTTGGCGAGTACACTAGCGCGAGTAAATCCGCACAGATGTAAACACCCTGGGTACTGCGGAGTCGACCAATTTTATTTTGCAAGCCAATGGGAAACTGCTTGAAAATTTTCTGAAGTTTAAAACTGGTTTGCTTTTTCTCAGTTGATTCCCGCCAAAAGCTCTGAGCCAGGAGTGCTCGAGCCCGCATGACTCTATCAAAGTTTGTTTACATACATGTTTCGCAAAGGATTGTTTTACCACAGACAAACAGACATAACACATTGAATATTTCTCACCGTAAAAGATCATCGCTAAAACATTACCGCCATCTGTTGAGTACACTGTGGTGGGTAGTATACTGAACAGATGGCGGTAGTGTGTAAACGTCAAACGCAAGGGAATTGACTATGCGCGCCACAGATGGCGGTACTACCAACTACGATACTTTTTTCCTACACAGCAAAAACAAATGTAATATCGATCAACGTAATTCAAGCTGATGTATGAAATAATGATGTAATAGCAAAAAGCAGATACAATATTACATCAATGGATGTAATTTTGTTCGCAAAATCGATGTACATCGTACAACGTAATATTACACAACCGGCGGAATGATCTCTGTGCAGCTGTTTGGATGTAATATTCAACAACTTTTTTTTTCTTTGTATAACCACGAAGAGCATTTTTTATAGCAAAACTTACCATACGAAATGCTCATTGTTCATTTTCGTCAACAAACTAACACTTCTTCTTTGTGTTTCACCTTTGTATGAAGCGCCTAGTGCTCGCCCTCTAGTTGTGAGTGCTATCAGAAGCAGCATGAAACACCTAATTGTAAAAACGTAACTGATCAACCGTTACGAAATGTCATATTCGAAATTGCAGTCGCTAAAATGACGCAATTCCGTTGATCGTCGTTTTTTTAGAAAGAGCTTTTTTAGCTGTGCACGGAAACCGCAAAATACGCAAAAATGACAATAAAGGACTCAATTTTGACTATAAAGTGTGCATATTCGACTAAAACTGGACTACACCTAAAATGTGTGTATTTTTTAAACCTTTTATGAGTATCTGTTACTCATAAATGCATAAATTTTATTAATTTTTATTCTAGAATTTCTCATAAATGTGTAAAATTTTAGTCATTTTATGGGTAGTCCCGTTTTCTTTCAAAAATGCTTACTTTATAGTCATAAAAGAGATTTTTGGGATTACCGTGTTCAGCTTCACCCATGCCAGGCACGAAGTTATTGCTGCGTTCGGGTGTAAAGTAAAAACCTTTAAACTCATACTTACCCCAGTTTGGTAATAATCGTAGCTGGTGATTTTTTTAGCTTGATATTGTCGTCGATACAGCTGAAAACTGGATAAACATACTAGCAAAAATCTATTTTACTCTCGTTCTATACGTTATACATAGTGTCGGAAGAAGTGCGCTCTAACTCTGATGACAATAGTAGCGGATGCTTGGAGGAGATCCATTAAATACGTCACACTCTTAGAGGAAGGGGGGTTTACAAATGTGAGACAAATTAATGTATTAGCGGTGCCGGTGGTGTAGTGGTAAGCGTGACTGCCTTTCACTCCAAAGGGCCTGGTTTGAATCCCAGTTGGCGCCGTCGGGATTTTTCTGAGCCATACAATCTCTGATCACGATGCCGTTGATATTTATCCACGAAAATCATGCGTGATCATGGGAGAGATTGAGAATAGATTTTTTAATATTTTCTCAACACGGCTTATTTAACTAGACATAAAAAGTAACAAGGACTAAGTTGTGTTCCTTTCGTTACTGAAAAATCCTGTTATGTTAGTTTGAAGCAGTCAGAACTAGGGTTCAGTTCGGTGGTAGATTTTACAACGTAGTGCACCACGAAAAAGTTATATACCACCGTTACATGGAGTCCTATGGGGCCAATACTCTCTTCAATCTGGTTGTACAACCGCTATGGTTTTAAAATGAACGGTACACAAATAAATAAAAATACTTATTACTTATTATTAATATTAAATTCTATGCTTATGAGTAAAAATACGGTGTATGTCACAATATTTGCATAACACCGAACACAACATATCTTGAAGACTCTTCCATTTTCTCAAACGACCGGTATGATACAGGCACAATCGCGTCATCTGCCGCTCAAAGGTAAATACTCCGAATGAATTGGATAGCAAAGTATCCATCCCAAGAAGAGAGGTTTCTGTATTTGCTCATTTATCTATGCGTTGCTTCCACCTTCACTCGAGCACAGTGCTACTGTGTTTGTCGCTCAGATTCAGGCAAAGTTGCCAGTCTTTTTGATATGTTGCCTTCGATTACACCTTGAAATGGCCAATTACGGGTGAAGTGGAGTGCGACGATGTGGAGCTAACTCTACTTGGAAATCATCGTCGCAATTTTAGTTGAAAAGAGACGAACCAGCTAAGGGCTGAAAGTCTCTATAATACAGCGAAAGAAAGAAAAGATGTTAGTTGAATACTTCCAAACGCAAGCGTTTATTATGATGATAGATTATTATAAACCATAATTCTAGCAGTTCCATCCGGCGATACAGGTTGGTGGCATATTGGATGGTGGACATTCGTTGGTATCACAGGGGTTTGGTCTGCATTCCATAGTCGGATCGCAGCATGCAAACCACGGCCAATCACACACTTGTTTAGCAACATTGAAATGCAGTCCTGGAGGGCACATCATTTCACACGCTCTTCCGGTTTCACACTTGTAGTACTTGGAACAATTGTTGTGGCGGAGAAGTAATGGCTTCGGTGGGTTAAATAGTGGACATAGTGGGTTTGGATCACAGTTGTCACAGTTGTTTCCTCCTCCGCTGCAAGGTGGTGTTGGGGTAGGACAGATTATTGGTGGGCATGGTCCTGGTGGTGGTGGTGGTGGTGGTGGTGGTGGTGGTGGTGGTGGCGGTGGTGGTGGCGGTGGTGGTTGTGATCCGTCACAACCACTTCCTGGACCGCATGGGTCAGGCATGCAGGGAACAGATGGATCACAGCAAGCATGTTGAGGCCAATCGCAGGCCATCTTGACGCTGTTGAAGTGTAGTCCAGCTGGGCAGTCGTATGTACAGGCACGACCGTCGTGACATTTCAAGAATTTCGCACAGATGGTATGTGGAAGCAGTACTGCCTTGATAGGATTGTACGGTGGGCACCGTGGGTCCAGAGGGCAATTAATCAGACATGTCGTTGTAGTGCAAGGGGCCTGCGCTCTGATAGTGACGCCGCAAAGGGCAATCACTAGAAATAATAATTTCATATTCAATTTCACTACAACGGACATATACCGCTGCTGCTATGAATCAAGAATAAACCAAACCGATACTAACTTCTCCTTTGTGCACAACTGGTTTTTATACAGATTTTGTGATTTCGCCAAAATAGATAGTTCACTCAAAACATTATCTTTGTCAAAATTTCACGAGAACTTGACACAATGTCAAAACAAAAAGATATGAACACGGAACTAGAATTCAATCGGCAGAAGCAACCTAGTCGAGAAAAGTGATTCATGTGCACTATTATAAAGCTTCTACTTAGCGATCTTGTTGCAGAAGGCCATGTAGATTTGTTTACGACAGTTCAATGTGTTGACGTAGCTAAGTTGTAATGACGAGGTTGGCCAATAATTCGGTCGTCTAGAGTTCGAGTTCAGGTTCTGGTGGTGTGGTGTAGTGAGTAACAATTTGATGGTGTGCTTTATAACTAATTTCTCAGCTAAATAAAATCAATAAATTCCTCCATCAAAAAACGTAGACAATATTTAACTCTGCTTCAAAATAAAGCTGAGCAGTGGATGATCGTAAAATGGTTGAATAAGCGCCTTTGAAGTACACACACAACTAAACAGTAGAATAGCAACAGTATAGAAGCGTAAATGGATATGCAATAAGAGCTTGTCACAACCGTCCCAACAGCCATACACTAGCAGAAATTTTGAAAACGACCGCTTCATCTTCCCAAACCACTCCAAAAAGCAACAACACATTCCACCTCCTGCCAGATGATGATCAGGGCTCTGACTCAGAGGTTGGTGAGAGTAGTCCTTTTGTCTTTAACGGCAACACGAGGAAGCGGTCCAAAACAAACGTCACCCAAAAACCTCGTAAGGCCTCTCGTACGGACTCTCAACCTACCTTGACAAATTTAAGAGGTAGCGGAAATGTAGCAAAACCCCCACCACCGGGATTTCAAGTTTGTAATTTTAACAAAGACTTTCCGCCACTTCCGGGATCATCTAAAACCCCAGATATCCCAGTTTTTCAGCCAGAAAATCAGCTAAATAACCAGCAAGAACATGATGCCATGTTCACGTTTTCTGGAATTGTGGAGAGCATCTTCAATATATTCAACGTCTCTGACTCAACTAGGAACATTATTAATTTAGTGCTTCCACTTGTGAAAACTCTTTTGAAGCAACTAGCTTCTAGGTGGTCCTTCCTTGCATCGATCATATCTTTTGATGGATAATTTTCCGAATGAGGTCGGAGATATGATCTCTCTTCTTCAGTGGAACTGCAGAAGTCTTATACCGAAACTTGACGCATTAAAATTTTTAGTTCACAACTCACTTTGTGACGCATTTGCTCTTTGTGAAACATGGCTTTCTTCAGACACCGATCTCCCTTTCCACGATTTTAACATTATTCGCCTTGATCGAGCAGATTCGTATGGAGGGGTGCTTCTAGGGATTAATAAGCTCCATTCCTTTTATAGAATCGATCTGCCTTCCGTGACAGGCATTGAAGTTGTCGCGTGTCAGGTAAATATTCGAGGTAAAAGCCTCAGTATTGCCTCAGTATATTTTCCTCCGAGAACTGCGATTTCTCGCCAAGGTCTCTCAGATATCTGCTCAGTTTTATCTGAGCCTCGGTTGATCTTAGGAGATTTTAACTCTCACGGTACAGGCTGGGGGGAACTGTACGACGACAACCGCTCAACCTTGATATACGACATGTGCGACATCTTCAAAATGACAATTCTGAACACCGGGGAAGCAACACGAGTAGCCAAACCTCCAGCAAGAGTAAGCAGATTAGACCTCTCACTTTGTTCGAGTCCACTAGCGTTGGATTGCTCGTGGAAAGTAATCCAAGATCCCTACGGTAGTGATCATTTGCCAATCAAAATTTCTATTACCAATGGTTCATCTTCCACTCGCTCGGTTGACATCGCGTACGACCTCACGAAAAACATCGACTGGAAAAAATTTGCGGCCACGGTTCTCGGTGGTATTGAATCGGTTGAGATACTCCCTCCGCTGGATGAGTACTCCTTTTTATCGCGACTTATCGTTGACTGCGCTCTTCAAGCACAGACGAAACGCGTTCCGGGTGTTTCCATTCGCAGACGACCTCTCACTCCGTGGTGGGATAAGGATTGCACCAACGCGAACAGCGAGAAGTCCGCCGCGTTTAAACGCTTCCGCAAACACGGTAAGGTCGGGGATTTCGAGCGGTACACCGACCTCGAGAAAACTTTCAAGGGCTTGATTAAAGCCAAGAAACGCGGTTACTGGCGTCGGTTCGTCGATGGTTTGTCGCGAGAGACTTCCATGAGAACACTCTGGAATGTCGGCAGGAGAATGCGAAACGCGTCATCACCGGTCAACGAAGACAAGGAGTACTCAGACAGTTGGATATTCAGCTTCGCGCGGAAAGTTTGCCCGGATTCGGTGCCGGTTCAAACCAACGTTCGTGATCGTCCGTCGGGTAATAACGAAATAGATTCTCCGTTTTCGATGGTGGAATTCTCACTTGCTCTCCTCTCATGTAACAACTCAGCTCCAGGAATGGATAGAATCAAGTTTAACTTGCTCAAAAATCTCCCAGACGTCGCGAAGAGACGCTTGTTGAACTTATTCAATCAATTTCTGGAGCACAACATTGTTCCGGATGATTGGAGGCAAGTAAGAGTTATCGCCATTCGAAAACCCGGTAAACCCGCGTCGGATTATAACTCGTACCGTCCCATCGCGATGCTGTCCTGTATACGGAAATTGTTGGAGAAAATGATTCTTTTTCGTCTAGACAAATGGGTCGAGTCGAATGGTTTACTTTCAGATACGCAATTTGGATTTCGGAGAGGCAAAGGAACGAGCGACTGTCTTGCGTTGCTTTCAACTGAAATTCAACTGGCCTATGCGCAAAAACAGCAAATGGGTTCAGTTTTCTTGGACATTAAGGGGGCTTTTGATTCTGTTTGTATCGATGTCCTTTCGGATAAACTCCACGATAGTGGGCTTTCACCAATTATGAACAACTATTTGAGCCACTTGTTGTCTGAGAAATATATGAGCTTTTCTCATGGAAACTCGACAACTTCACGAATTAGTTACATGGGTCTCCCCCAGGGCTCATGTTTAAGCCCCCTTCTTTATAATTTTTATGTCAAAGACATTGATGGTTGTCTTGATGAAAATTGCTCGCTAAGGCAGCTTGCAGATGACGGCGTTGTGTCTGTTATAGGGCCAAGTGCACTGGACCTGCAAGGACCATTGCAAGATACCTTAGACAACTTGTCTACTTGGGCTTTGAAGCTGGGTATCGAATTCTCTCCGGAGAAAACTGAGTTGGTTGTTTTTTCTAGGAAGCACCATCCTGCACAGTTACAGCTTCAGCTAATGGGTAAAACAATCACTCAAAGTATTTCTTTTAAGTATTTAGGTGTCTGGTTCGATTCCAAATGCACATGGGGAAAACATATTGCGTATCTGAAACAAAAATGCCAGCAAAGAATTAATTTTCTTCGTACAATTACTGGAACTTGGTGGGGAGCACACCCGGAAGATCTGATCAGGTTGTATCGAACAACCATCTTGTCGGTTCTAGAGTACGGTAGCTTCTGCTTTCAATCCGCGGCAAAAACACATATCTTGAAGCTGCAACGGGTTCAATACCGTTGCCTCCGAATCGCGCTTGGCTGTATGCACTCGACGCATACGATGAGCCTCGAAGTACTCGCGGGTGTTCTCCCACTGACAGATCGTTTCGCGGAACTGTCCTTCCGGTTTCTTATCCGTTGTGAAGTAATGAACCCATTGGTAATAGAAAATTTTGAGAAGCTACTCGACAGAAATCCTCAAACAAGATTCATGAGTTTGTACTATGAGTACATGACGCTGGAGGTTGGTCCTTCTTCATTAATCTCCAATCGTGATTGCTTTCAAGCCTTCTATAGTTCCTCTGTAAATTTTGATCTGACCATGATGCAAGAAATCCATGGAATACCAGATCACCATCGGTCGATGGTTGTTCCCTCAATTTTCGCAATCAAGTACCACCATGTAAGTAACGATAAAAGATTTTTCACAGATGGGTCAACCATAAATGCTTCCACTGGATTTGGTGTATTTAATCAATTTCATAGCGCCTCTTATAAACTGCAGAAACCATGCTCAGTATACGTTGCGGAACTCGCAGCTATATTTTACGCAGTAGAGCGAATCGCCTCACTACCGTCTGACCATTATTTTATTTTTACGGATAGTCTTAGCTCATTGGAGGCTATTCGTTCAATGAGGCCGATGAAGCACTCCTCGTATTTCCTGCCTGAAATACGATCTAAACTGAGTGCTTTATCTAACTGCTCCTATACTATCACCTTAGCTTGGGTCCCATCTCATTGCTCAATTCCGGGCAATGAGAAAGCGGACTCATTGGCTAAGGTGGGCGCTATGGAAGGCGATATTTTTGAGCGACAAATCGCCTTCAACGAATTTTTCTCCATTGCTCGTCAGCAAGTCCTCATCAGTTGGCAACAAAAATGGAATGATGGTGAATTGGGAAGATGGTTACATTCTATTCTCCCTCAGGTGTCGAACAAGCCATGGTTCAAAGGGTTGGACATGAGCCGCGACTTTATACGCGTTATATCAAGGCTTATGTCCAATCACTGCTCGTTAGACTCGCATTTCTATCGAATTGGGCTCTCAGGCAGCAATTTATGTGCGTGTGGCAGTGGTTATCACGATATCGAGCACGTTGTTTGGTCATGTACCTTACACCGTGTTGCCAGATCTGAGTTATCCATATCCCTCAGGGCCCGAGGAAAACAACCCGCGATACCCGTTAGAGATGTCTTGGCGAGCCGAGACCTCGACTATTTGAATTTAATTTATGTGTTTTTAAAACGGATAGATTTCAGGATTTAGTAGTTAGTGTCATCTTGTGTTCTCCCAAGTTGTTAGTTGCCCATCGGTGTACCCCCATGTTTGTCTTTTTCATCAGAGTGTCGCCTAGTTCGAGATCAAGAGCACATTGCTCTCCAAACCTTGTGTTCACAATCCCTACCCTG